ATATATATATATAGAATAACTATAAAATTTAGATTAATAGTAAATTATTATGGGGGGATACAGATTTACTTTTGGGGGTTTTTAATGATTTATATAGCTTTTTTTTATTAAAATACCTTTATATATATTTTTCATATTTGATTACTTAAGGCTCATACAGTGGGATTTAATAATATTTAGTGTAGGGGAGGAAATAATATTATTAATAATATTAGCAGAAATTACTAAGAGGGCGCAGGTTCCTTTTTCAGTGTGGCTTCCTTTGGCAATAGCAGCTCTTACACCTGTTTCTACTTTAGTACATTCGTCAACTTTGATAACTGCGGGGGTATATTTAATAATTTGTTTTAATAAGTTTTTAATAGTTTCAAGTGTGAGATTTGTTTTGAGATTTTCTATCATTACTATGTTTATGCCAGGGGTAATGGCAAATTTTGAGAATGATTCTAAAAACATTATTGCTTTATCTACTTTAAGGCAATTAGGGTTAATGATAATAATTTTAAGTTTTGGATATAGGATATTAGCTTATTATCATTTATTGGTTCATACTATCTTTAAATCAATGTTATTTATAGCTACTGTTATAGCTGGGATTGTAATTCATATAATAAAAAATACGCAGGATATTCGATTATTGGGGAATTTAAATGAGATAATTCCGTTTGTAATAATAAGATTAATGGTATCAAATAAAGCATTGAGTGGTGTGCCATTTAAGTCTGGATTTTTTAGGAAAGATTTAATTATGGAGGTTATTTATAGAGAGAGGGGAGAATTAATGTAGTTATATTAATATTGATTATTTTATCTTTGTTATTGACAGTTTCTTATTTAGTGCGATTTTTTTATTATTTATTTTTTAATAGAAAGGTAAAGTTTTACAGATATATATACATTAAGGAGGATAAATCGATTAATTTATCTATAATAATAATAATGTTTTTAAGGGTAATAGTAAGATCTATTTTAAATTGGTTTTTTATTATGATTGTTATTTTATTTATATATCTTTGTTATTAAAATTGGTTCTTTAATTTGTTTTATAGGAGTAGTATTTTGTTAGGGTTAATTGTTATAATAAGAAAATTTATATTTATATATTATTATATGTATTTTTTTAAATCTATGTGATTTTTAAGTAGGTTATATAGATGAATTCATAAGCCAATAAATGAATTTAGATTGATAGTTTCTAATTTAGATAAAAGTTGAGTAGAATTTATAAGTAAAATTTTTATTGTTGGATTTGTAGAAAAAAAGTTTAATTATGTTTATTATAAGTTATATATATTTATGTTTATTTTTATTTATATTAGAATTAGAGTATTTATATTTATTTAATGATATGTATAAAATTTTTATATTTAAATAGCTTATATAGTAAAGTATAATATTGAAGATATTAATTAAATTTGGTTAAAAATTTTTAAATAAATTATAAATTTAATTAATTTTATATTGAAAATATAATGTTTTTTTAAACTATATTTAATGTAAGTATGAAGTAACATGATAGTATCATAATTAAATGAATTAGAAGTTCATCTTTGTTTACTTCAACTAGAAATTTTTAATTTTTCAATTTTATTATTAACAATAATATACCTCTAATTTGGTTTTAGTTAAAAATATTTTAAAGATATATTTATATAATTAAATATTTTTTATAAATAAATAGTGTAGGATTTATTTGGGGTTATAATATGATAAAGTTAAATAATAATTAAATTCTTAGATTATATTTATTAATAATCAATATTTAATTCGAAGTTAAATTGTAATAATTACTTTAAGAATTTAATAATAAATGAGCAGATTAAAAATAATTAAATATTATAGATTTAAATATAAATGAATTTATTTATGTTTTTATGTATATATGTATTATGTATAAGTATTGAAGGACTGTATAACGTGTATATTTAATTTGAAAAGGGG